AGATTATGTAGAAATAAACTCAAAGTCAAAAGCTCCTCCTGCAGAGCAGCACCTGTGCCTGCTCTACTTCTGTCCCCACTCTTCTGCAGTGTATCCAGGCTGGAGTTCTCCAGAGTGATTTGCACCCAGGTTAGCATAACAGGACATTGAGAGGCTGTCCCAGTCCAGGATACTCAGCCTACCCAAATACCATTATCACTGAAATGTCAATGGAATGATTTTTGAACAGGGAGGGAAATTTAGAGCAGTAATGGCTAAAGGCTGATAGCAGCTCTGCACTGATATCACAGCCTAGCTCATGCTTGGCAAGCCCGATACTATTTCGCAGAAGGTACTTTTCCATGCTGATGTCTACCATGCTTAGGTTAGACAAAACAATATGGGACATGTATTTCTAAGTGTGGAAAATACATCTCACTTAGAAAATGGCAGATAATTATGTTACGAGAAGTGAATTCTGATCTTTACGCCCAAGGCATTTCATAAGAATTTCAGAATCAATCCCAAGAAGCCTGTGTATTCTCTTGTAGGCTTCACACATTTTCCTCTGGCTGGAATATGTCACTCCAAAGCTTATAAGCAGAAAAGTAGAGAGCATATGGCACTATTTTTACTGGAAAAGCTAAGTTGGAAATCGTTAATAACTGGTTTAAAATAGATGTCTCTAAAGTGGCATATAAAGAATCCAGTAAAATTATGACTGTGTAGAGCTGCCTTTGGCATGCCCAAGCAAACAGAGCATTAGAATTACCTCATCTCTGTCTCCTACAAGTGTGTGACTGTTTCTGTATCAAGATCCCTGTTCTTGGCTATATGGAATGAAATGGCACTAATACAATTGGAGTATCTCAGGCTGCCAAAGAGGAATATTGAAAGCATAGAGGCAGACGGCTCACACCACATGAAGTCTTCAAACCTACAAGTAGCAGGTGTGCTAAAGTTTCTGTGTATCTGAATTTAAATGAATGTAAAGAACACTTGAATGACTTATTTCTCTTCTTAAATCAACCTCAGACATTTTATCCACTCTGGCTGTACGCGCCTTTCAGAAAACTCAGTCATAAAAGAGCACAGTGTGAGTTTGCCTCAGAGTAGGAAGGGCTTTCCCTATTTGCATGATTCTTTTGAATTCCAAGGCTTCTAAGCCGCTACTGTTACAAGGCCCTGGAAAGTGCATCTTCTCCTGAGATAACCATGTTGCATGCTTACAACATAGTTTAAGTAGTAAAATAAAAGAGCATCCTTTGAGTACACTGGAGTAACTCGCTGGCACTGAGACCTACGCCTCAGCAGCTTAAGCCTTCAGAAAGTGTCCTAGCCAAGAACATTCTCCTTGTTAAATAGGGCTTGCAAGAAAATTAAATCTATGTAAATATGACCAAAAAAAAAAAAAAAAAAAGAAGAAGAAGAAAAAAAGAAAATGTTGATTGAATCTGGTAGAGTGTAAAATAAGGAAACGAATAAATAATTGTTTCTTCGGATTTTGTGGTTGATTGCTGCAGCTTATTGACTAGTCATATACTTGGCAGTTTTAGAAGCAAGTCAAACATGCCAGCAAACCAGTAAGAAATTACTGGAAAGAAAGTTAAAAGGAGCATCTGACTGCTAATATATATGCATCCAGTTAAGCGACTGGAAGATTTTTAAGAACAGGCAGAGCTCAGCTTAATGTGAATTGGGGCTGAGAAGGAGACGCAAGAGAGAAACCCCCTGGCTCAAGACTGGAAATGTCACCTGAGAAACAGCAGAAAAAATATAATGGGGGAAACTTTGATTTGGTTGCATGGACTTTGTGCTTGATACATTAAATGCTATGCCTTGGCTGTACCCTGGACTTACAGTGAGAAAACAGAGTGCTGGGCATTTCATGCATGTTTATATACCTCATTCTGTAAGCTCAGCAACCTGAGAAGTGTATCTTAACATTTTCCAGCCACCTCAAAACAAGCCAGGCTATCTAGTTAAGGAAAACTTCCTTCTGATCGAATCTGGTTAAAGCAAAAGTAATTTAATAGATTGGCAAAATTCAAATAGCCTAAATACCTTCCAAATTTGCTGGACCAAATGAAGAGAAATGGGAATACCACCTCTACTTGCTGAATGTATCCAGGTAAAAAGCATGCACTTTCTAGCTCCCTGGCAAAGGATCTCTATGTCACAGATATCCAGGCTATATTCACTGAAAAGGACCTCGATTTAAGGATACCACCTGTTTTTTACACTCAAATTAGTTCATACTTCAGGTTTGAATGAGTGATCTGTATTTTTTTGCACTGCTCTCTCCAGCTTTGGACAGATAATAGCTCTCGGGCCTGACTGTACCTTGTTCTCGCATACCCTGAGGACACAGAGAATTCATAACTGCTGCTCAACAAGGCTACAGAGCTGTGCCCCAGGATAAAATGCTCAGAGGCTACTGTTGTTTAAGGAGTTCATTAAGCCAGTTCTTTGCTACCACCCTTACTTAAACTATCTCAGCTGGTTTTAGCTCTCCCTTGGGAACCTCTTGAAAAAATAATTTTTATTTCACTGTCTTATTTACAACTTGAAAGGGCCATTTCAGTGTTCTGTGGTGTTCTGTGTTCATTCAGTGTTCTGCCTGTGGTGGGGGGGTTGGAGATTCATAATCCTTGAGGTCCCTCCCAACCCGAGCTGTTCTGTGATTCTGTAATACAGTTGTGGAGCCAGAATAAGAGATGGGAGAGAAGAAGGAAACTGCTTAAACTCATCACAATGACTCAGTTGCACCTTGGAACCAGACAAAACCTGACATGAATTACTAACTGATTGTGTGGCAATTGATCACTCTCTTCCACCAAGCAGAGCAGTTGTCAAGTTCTACAAGTGTTGCCCTTCTATTTCACAGAAATGTGCAACTTGTTAATCATGCTAAACTACAGAGCTGAGATTAACACAACAGTAGTCACTTTTGGCATGAGAAATGGCTTTGGAGGAAACCAAACCCTGAGCCTGTCATTGAAGGCTTCTGTCATTAACAACCATCTTTTGCTTGGTGAATACCTTTTATTCTTGCAGCACAGCTGGATGGACTAACTGCACTTTCCCAAGTGCTGAATTATGGTTCCCAGCATCTCAGGCCCTTGGGAACTCTGTGAGAATTTGGTCAGTGAAAGGAAAGACAGAAAAAATCCTTAACTGTGAATAAATTTATGAGACGTAATTAAAAAGGCAGCTACTTGAAAAGTACAAAAACAGGTGCTCTCCTGTTGGACTTGATTCTTTCTCTTAGGAACATGGTAAATACATATCCCTGTATCTTACTATTACAATGTTACATATTTGCTTTGAATATGCTGTTGGCTGCACTAGGCTAAATTCTGTTCTTTTCCATAGCAAGAGGCAACTCCAGCCTCAAAGTACACACAGATAAGTACTTGCATTAATATCCAGACCTCACAAAAATGATGACCTTCAGATCTGCAAAGGCAAGTGCTTAAGCTTGAGCTGAGAACATTCACAGAAAGGGAATTAGATATGTTTTTTGTTCTTACTCTTCCTCATACTTACAGCCACTGCTGAAGACAAAAGATTGTACTCCATGCACCTCTGGCATAAAGCAACTCTATCATGTTCACCACAGATACCACCGTCATGGTGCTGATGGAGAAAACGTTCAAATTCTGGCAGGACCAAGCTACCCAAGGACATGAGGGGAGGCCTGGGCTGAGTGATGAGTTCACAACTCACAAGTTACCACCTGGCATCACAGTAGTTCAATCTGTGATTGAATCTGTGAATCATAGAATAATAGAATTGTTTGAGTTGGGACTCTTACAGGTCATTGAGTCCAACTCCACTGCAATGAACAGGGACACTCACAGCTAGATCACGTTGCTCAGAGCAATGTTCGGCTTGACCTTGAATGTCTCAAGGGATGGGGCATGCACCACTCCCCTGGGCAACCTGTTCCCATGTCTCACCACCGTTATTGTAAAAAACTTCTTCCTTATATCCAATCTAAATCTCCTCTCTTTTAGTTTGAAATTCTTGTCCTATCACAACAGACCCTGCTAAAGAGTCTGTCCCCAAATTTAATATAGCCTCCCCCTTTAGATACTGAAAGGCTGCTATTAGGTCTCCCTGGAGCCTTCTCTCTCAGCGTCTCCTCGTAGGGGAGGTGTTCCATTCCTCAAATCACTTCTATGGCACTCCTCTGGACGTGATGCAACAGGTCCACATCTCTCCCATATTGAGAATGCCACATCTAGACACAGCACTGTAGGTGATGTCTCACCAGAGTTGAACCATCCTTCCCATCTGCTGTCTAAAAACTGAGTTCCATTTCTCCAGCTGGCTGTAGCCTTGATAACCACCCTGTTACAATATGCAAGGCTACTGCTATACAATAATAAGGCGCAGATCTGCTCCAGAAGGTTCTGCAGAGGATATCCCTGAGACGAAGCGAGTTAGCACCTGCTTGAAATAAAAGGATTTCTCTGCAAAACAGGAAGACACCTCCAAGCCTTTGGAAACAGCATCCAATTTTGACTTCCCACATGTGTGCTTTCACTGGAAAATGACACATTTCTGCCATCTTACATGTTTTTTAGGTAAATAAATAAAAGGAAGATACACAAGTAGAAACAGTCATTCCTGCCAAAGGATGTTTATGCCTACAGAAACCATCGCCCCACATCTTCGGGAAAATATGATTAACGGCGTTGTGCTGATCTTAATCAGATTTATTGAGACAAATGTTAAAAATCCAGCAGGGGTGGGGGGGGGCGAGGAGGGGGGCATTAAAAATATATTGAAAAAGCAAATCGAAATGCCCAGAGGGAGTGAGCTAATGACCGTCTTCCTATTACCTCATGAGATCAGGAGGTCGGCCGATCCGGCCGCAGCGCTGCGGTCAGCACCGCGGCCACCTTCCCCCGCCCGAGCCCGGGGCCGCGCTCCCTCCCGTCCCCTCGGCGCAGGTTGGCCGGCGGCCGCGGGCCCGCCGCCATGTCGGGACGCCGGGGGCGCCCTGAGGGGTGACATGGCGGCGGGTAGCAGGGGGCAGCCACCCCCGCGCGAGGACGCGGCCGCCCCGCTCCCCGCCCTGCCCCCCTTCCCGAGGGGCTGCCGGGCCGGGCGGCATTGTTGGCCGCGTCCATCACTCCCCGGCCCGGCTGACATAATGAATGCGCTTGGACACACCTTCCAGCCCGGCGGAGAGGCGCGGCGTGCCTCCCCCGAGCGCTCCGCTCACCGCAGCCCTCCCGGCCCCGCAGCCCGGCGCCCCGTCCCAGCCCAGTGAGGGGCCGCGGCGGCCGGGCCGGGCCGGGCCGGGCCGGGCGGCCCTCGCTATGCTGCCCAGCGCGCTGTACTGGGACCTGGTGGGCTCGTCGGCGCTCCTCAACCTGCCGGCGGCGCCGGGCTTCGGCAGCCTGGGCAAAAGTTTCCTCATCGAGAACTTGCTGCGGGCCGGCGCGCCGCAGAGCCCTGCCCAGCTCCGTCCCCTCCCCGCCAGCCCCGTCCCCCTCAAGCTGTGCCCCGCGGCGGAACAAATCAGCCCCTCGGGGGGTCCCTATCCGACCAGATGGGCTTTCCAAGTGCTTAACCCCTCGGCGGCGGGCGGCGGCCGCCTGCCAGCGCGGGCTCCGGCGGCGGCGGACAGAGGCGGCGTCTTCCCGCCGGCGGCCACAGGTGAGCGCGGGGACGGGCAGCGGGCGGGGCGGCCGGGCCGCGGCGAGGCTCTCGCCATCCGCGGCTTTGAACTTCGCGGAGCCGCGCACCTGTGGCTGGAGTGAGCGCGGCGGAGCGGCGCTGCTGGTCGCGGGGGTGGCTCCAATCGCTCTTCGTCGCAGCTCCGTACGGTCCGAAGCGGTCCGAGAGCCCCGCGCTCGATGCCGGGGGAAGCCGAGCGGCACTGCCGCCCCCAGAGCGGGCTGACACGGTGTTACGCAGCGAAGTTCATTTCCTAATGCGCCGCGTGTGTTCTGCCTGAACGGACCGCTGTACAGCGTGTTTAGGAGCGAGCGTTTCTGTCAGTCGTTAAGCTGGTTGGGGCTGGATTACAAAATCCCTAAAATTCAGCCGTGGATGTTGTATTTTCCCTTTATGTTCGAACGCATCAGTTTATTTCAGCATTCTGTAGCGTGTTCAGAAATTTGGTATATGATCGTTCAGTCTTAAACGTGTCTAAAATAAGACAGACGGAAGCCTGACTGTTGAGCTCAGGCTTTCAGGTGTGAAACGAGTGGCTCCCTGTAGAACCGGAATTGTTAACAGTTATTTTCTTTTCCAAGTGTACTTTTACTTTAATTAAATCCTACGAAGCGTTCTGCAAAATCCAAAACATTTTTTGTGTCTTTAGCATTTCCAGGCCTAGGTGATGTGAGCGTATCTTAAGCATTTCAGTTATTTAAACGCATGTTTGTGTTTCCCAAGACAGGATAGAGAACAAACCCCATCTTTCTGCAATTAGCTGCACATTCCTTTTCTTTATTCTTATTTATTTATTTATTTATTTATTTTGAGTTGTAGAGCCAGTGCTGCTTTTCTATGTACAAAGCACACATAGGAGCAGGACAGCAGATCCCCCAGCATTCACAGCTTAGCAGACTTTTTCTAACTCTCACACGTTACTTAATGTTGAATTTTTCAAGTGCTTGCTTACAGAGTTTGTTTTACCATCGACCTACGTGGGTACCTGTGAATTTAGCAAAGTGCAGCATGGTCGAGCCTTCCTAGTAATGACCCTATATTTCTTGCTAGCCCGCAGCTGATTTCATAGGGAGCTCTGGGGTAAAGCACCAAACCCTTACATTTGAACAGTGAGAAATACGAGATTTCCTCATGCATTATGCAGTCATTAAGAAAGTCTGCTAATGTAGATGTACAACAGGAATGTATAGGTTCTAACAAGGGTAGTAGATGCTGGTCTGACTGACATCTTTTAGAGTGATGAACAATCTTAGGATTCTGAGTTCTTGTCAATATAACTTAGATCAGAACAGCTCTACTGAGACAGATTTTGTAGTTTCTAAGGAGTCTCTTCTCTCTAGCATTGGCATACTCTACAGGAACTGTTCACACACTGGTCAGTGGTAATTCTGAGTAAGGCTCGCATGGTCAAGCTGTAGTTCCTTGCTTGTACTCTGGTAGGGAAAAAGGCTTTTTTGTCAGAGTATGGATTTTCAGGGTTTACATAAGATATGTTAACTAAGGAGTTTTTATTAGGTAAATCTCAGAATTGTAGGATTTGGAAGGGAACTTTAGGGATCATTGAGTCCAACCCCCTGCTAAAGCAAGTTCCGTACAGCAGGCGAGGTGGTTTTTTAATTTAGAGATTTTTATGTGTACTAAATATTTGTTTGGAGGATTACAGTTTTATCATTTCAGCTTGGACTTCCAAATCTATACAACATTGTAGTCTGAGTTCTTATTAAAGATTACAGAACAGAATAAAGCAAATTGCTTTTTTAATCTTTCTGAGGTGGCAAGTATTTACATACTATGTAGGGACTGAAAGTGCTCTAACAAACTAGATTTTCACAATTCAAGGTGTTTAAAGTGGGAAAAAAAAAAAAAAAGACTGAAAAGTATCATAATTATTGGGATCAGTGATCTGTATTGCTTGTGTAGTCCCAAATTCTGGTGTGGCCACCAAAATTTTCCAGAAAGCAAGGCATAGCAAATCACAGCAGAGACCCAACTTGACACGCTGAAATTTTTTACAGATCCAAACCCAACATTTACCCATAGCACCTATTAAGGAATGACATGAGCAAAGCACTCTGTTTTGGGATGTTATTTAACCTTCTGTAAAAGTGCCAAGGAATAAAAATCCTGTATTCTTTCTGTAAACAGGAAAGCTCTCATCCATGTATGCCACGGAGTTTGGCTGGGATTGGACTGTTGATGTGGTGGCCTTTCCCTTTGTAACCCTTCAGCAGCAGTTTTATTAGCAAATTTTCATTCATATTACTTACAGATTTGTACTGATACAGTTTTATCATTCAAGTATTTATCTGCTTATGTATTTTGAGTTCCCCTAAAAATGATCCTTAAGGAAAAACTGAACAAGTACTCCTGAAGTATTACACTGTAAGATGCATCATCTAATGAGTGAAAGAAAATTTGAAAAGAAATATTGCTATGCTCTCTGTAAATTTTAAAATCACTTTCCAGCATTGCATTGATTTTTATAAATGAAATCAAAACAAAGGTTTTTAAAACTTAGCTTATTTTGACTTAGTACAACCACATGAACCGGAGTGTTTCACGGAGCAAGGAAAAGCAGAAGGAATGGTAATGGCAGATGATCAACTTGCCTTCTGCAATGTTTGCCTTCTAGCTACTCTGGATTCCTGCACGCCGCCTTGTGCCTTTCCCTCAAGCCACAGTGTTGGTGATAGAATGTTGAACTGGGCCCACTAGCTTCAGCACACATGAATCACCGTTTCTGTCTCACTGAACTGAATTTGTCCCAGTGTCAGTGCTGTGGGCCTGGTTCTTATTGTTTAGCACCTTTTGCCTTAATAAAATAGAAATTCAATCCTACTTTGAGCTTTGTGAGAACTTTGAATACACTATAACCAGGGCTGTACATACAGTGCAGAGCCTGGTTCTGCTTTTTAAGCTCTGGGCACCAGAAGAGTGTTCTTCCTATGTAGAAACATTTAAAAATTGCACTGTTATAAACCAGCTTTTCCCAGTGAAATTTATTCCAGCTATGTAGCTTATACTTCAACTGTGAAAGTGAAGGAAGCCTAAAGTAGAAATTTTGAGCAATCTGATGGACTCTGAGTAGGAAGGAAGTATGCAATTTTTTGCTTGCTAATCTCTGATTTGGTCCTTCTCCTTGTAGTCCAGTGCTATCATCACCTTCTGGTTAAAATGGAAGACTTGAGGGTTTCTCTCAGCATTTTCTGGCATAGGAAAATTATCTGGAGTGTGATGAGATGCAGCTGGCTGTGCTGCGAACTTTAAAGAGGTGCTCTACATTTCTTTCCTTGTGACTTGATTTCCACAAGTACTGGTTGGCACCAGATTGGAGTGACCTCAGAGAGAAGAGTGCTGTTCTCTGCTACCTGAAATTATTTTCCACAAAATCTCTTATTTTCTCAAGTAACATGCCCTGGAAGGAAAATGCCAGTAAGTTCTTCGCAACCTGAATATGCTCACTAGTACACACATGGCAAGAATTTGGCTTTCTACTTTAATCTTGGTGTTTTGATAGATTAACAGAGAAAAGAAACTGAAAAGCACAATGAAACAAATACGATAAACATAGTAGTGAGATAATTCCATCATAAAACTTTCTGAAAAACTAAGCTTATGGGATTTTTGCCTAAGGCATCAGAATACAGTAGAAAAGAATACAGTACATCACATATAACATGAAAGAAAGCAATTAGAATAAGTAAATCATAAACATAAAATGAACTTACACTAATAAACGTCAGTTCTACAATATGGATGTGGCTTCTCTTTCTCCAACATTTGAGTACTTTACATCTGAATGCATTTATAATGGCAGCGTGTCAGTGAGATAGGAGAGATCTCTACTGCATAGAGGGACAGCTGGGGCAAAGGAAGTAACTTGCCTAAGGTAATACAGGAAACTGGTAACATTGCAGAGAAGTAAAACCAAGTCGTCATCTGCAGGCTGACTCTTTGGGCTAGTGTCAGTTTTTTCTCCTTGATGTGATGACAGTAATTCTATCCTGTAATAATTGTTTTGCTTTTTTTCCTCTGCTTTTAGTAAAATTTCACGTTTCTTTATGACAACCAGGAGATAATTTAAATTATAGCATCTTTTCTTGCTTCCAGATAACTTTTTGAGCCATTTGATAGAATTGGTTTAAGGTGTCCAGCATGCCTTAAAAGAGTGGCTAAGAGCTTTAAGAGGCTGTTCTTAAAGCTGCCTCTTCCCTCTGTGTAAGGTTGCCAGAGCTAGACCTGTGCCAGCCCTACTCCCACCCAGTACAACTGGGCAGTCTGGGCACAGTGACAGCTGTGGTGGTTCAATGCTGTGGCCTCTGGTGGCATTGAGAAAAGCCAAAGCTCCAGTCTGGTCTTTAGTAAGATTTGAGCACTGCCAGGAGATCTCAGGGTAGCACTGAGAAGAGCAGTAGTAAGGGTCTGCAGAAAGGCAATTATTTGCCAAAAGAAAACTGTGGAATTAATCATGCCTACAGATTGCAAATTAATTTCTATAAAATGCCCTTTGTACTTCAGATTGAGGTCTTCTGAAATTTCATGCTGTATTCATTGGGTTTTTAGAAAACAAATGAAGTGATAAAGATTAATCTCATCAGGCATGTTCTCTACACAAGTAGAGAATTTCATCAAGCTTCATTGTGCTATCATTTTTTACATTCTTAAGTACCCCATGATTTGGGAAGGCAAGCCCTCTGATTCTATTTGCCACTGAAAGTGGCACAGAACATCATTCTTGCTTAATTCAGCTTTGCAAACCAATTTGTACTCTAATATTTCTATCTTTGTGGTCAGTCATAACCTATAACAGAGCTGGGAATGAAATCTTCTCAGATTGAAAACAAGTTCAAGTATGTAAAGCAGGAGGAAGCTCAGGTAAGAATTGCAGTCTCTTCAGTGCATACTGCTGGAGTAAATGATGCATTTTAGGCAGTGGTAAGATTTTGAGTTGGGGCTGCAATGATGAAAATGAGTGAACTGCCCTATTGCAGCATGTGAGCCTAATTTCACCTTGGTTGAGGAAATTATTTCCAAAATGTATCGGTAATCAAAGAAAATAATTCTTTATGACTGAAGTTTAGCATTTTTTCCAGCCTGCTCATGTCCGTAGAGTGGATGGTATTATTTTGACAAGATAAGAATGCCATCTTACTTCAACTGCTTAAAAATAAAGGGGACTTGTCTAATCTAGTTGTCCATGTACCTTGTCTAATGCATAGTTGATACAGAGAGAATGACACAACTTATCTTCTTAGACATCTATTTTAAGGTGCTGAGTCTTTGTATAGAACTGCTTATCTCTTCTCATTGACTGTACAGGATGCCTAGGGAAGGAGATTAGCACACCAAACTTTTAGACAGAGAAGTGACAATAATGCCATTTAAAATATTTAACTGAGAAAAGAGAATTAGTAAGCAGAAAGTGCCAGGGCCGTGCACAAGCCTTTGGTTGTCTGGCAGAAGCCAAGCAAAGCAGGAGATGAAGCCTTCCAGATTCACATCTCATCAACAGCAAAAGCATTTACAAAGCATGGAGAAGGTAGAAGGAGTCTTTATTGCTGATGTGGAGAGGTCCATGTAGACTTTGGCAGTGGTGTGGGCTATGGACGTTGTCCTACTAATGCATGCTTCTTCCTTACGTAGAGAAAACAAACAAATCATCATGTACAGCAAAGCGTGCCCTAATAATAAGGCATGCAAATGATACCTCTGAAAACTGGTGGGCATTCGTGTGATCTGAGCTAATCCTCAGTGTGACTCTGTCATCTACTACATTGTTGTAGGTGCAAAGAACCAATAATCATTCTGTTAGCACATTTCAAGCCCTATTTGGTGACATAGCTTTTCTGGAGCGACTACTCTGCTGATTTTTGAAAGCCCCATTGAGACCCATTATAAAAATGCAAGCCTGCTTCTCACATTAACTTTTCATGCAGAATTCCCAGATACATTTTTGGAACTACAAAACCATTTATGTGAAAATTTGCTGGGGTTTTAAAACCCTGTGTATATCACTCAAGTCTGCCTGTTTGTCTCAGCTTCCTCTGAGTATTCACACTGCCTGGTTTTACAGGAGAGAATGCAGAGCAAATAAGCAGGAATGGACAGTTCTGAAGTATGCTGCATCACGTACATTTGAAGAACATTTTGACACATCTATGTGGTGCTGACCTCCTTTAGTGGGAAATGGCAGCAGCTGCAGCTTTCCTCTCATGGCCAGATGCCCCCAAAGGCTTGAGGCTGCACAACCTCTGCCATATCACCAGACTGAATGCAGTGACCACAGGATCAGAGCCGTGGCCCATTTCTGAGGCCTATGGCTTATGTTATAGAGCAGGCCATGCTGCATGGCTTGGCTGGACCTCTGACCTGCCCAGTCACTGCTGGACTGGCTGCAGGGAGCTCCTCAGGACATGCAGCTTTCTTGCAGCTTTGTAGAGCCTGCTTTAGTCATTGCCAGGAATGAATGTATGTGGGAAATTGCAATTTACTTTTACCCACCTCATAGGCAGAAACTGTTCAGGTTTCTCAGGTGAAATGGAATCATTTTAATGCTTAAATATTAAATTTTCCTACCAGGGCTAGAGCCATCAGGGAAAGCAGTTCACGATGGCTTAGCAATAGTTGGAGAGTGTCAGGGCTGTATTCACACAGCTTGAGCTCTGACTTCATTCTTGTGCTCAACATTGCTTGTTGCTGGCTGTGTGCTGCTCTCTGAATCACCCTTCTGAGGTGGTTCTGCTCTTGTTACAAGATTAAATCATGTTTTTACCAGCTAAATGTGAGGAAAAATCATGTCGTGAGGGAGGCCTGTGCAGGTAATACTAGAAGTGTACCTTAGGTTTGCTTTTCCTCATAGCAGTTTGCCTTTTGCCTCTTCCCCTTTGCCTGCTGGCTAGTGGCCTGTACCATTAAGTCATTTTGTAATGCTCGAATTAGGAAAAGCAAACGGTGTCTTTAATAATAAGACATTTTAAAATTTATTTATTTCAATTGGATTGGACTTAGGAACCTTGCCCTCAAAATGGCACAGGAAGGTTTTTGAATTTAGAATATCTTCAGAGTGGGGAGTTTATTTTGAAGTGCCTCACTTTTGTGAAATGATTGGATCTACACAGTGTCTGTTTTAATGAAATGGGAATGCTAAGCAGAAAAAGGATTAGGTGTCTCACATATGAATTATTAGGATTTAGCCCATGGTTAATGTTGACATGACTTGAAACAAAAGCTACTGTTCTGTTACTGTATGCTTCATTCTGGCCAAAAAATACAGAACTAATATTCTGGCATTTCAGCAATTTTCAGCCAAATAATGTTTGCTTCAAGTTGCTTGACCCACAGATATCGGTAGAGTGGCCATGATACATGTGACCACAAAACGAAAATATAGGTAATGTTTTCCATATGTATTAAGGTGCAGCTTGAACGTTTTTCTCTCCATAGAGCTTCCAAAGTAAAATTGAGTATAATTGTATTGTGTCACATTCTTTACCGTTGTAACTCTGTAACTCCTCCACTTTGCTCCGAGTGCAGCTGCTTCAGAAGACATGACCTGGAAATGTGGTTAGATAGACCTAAGAATTTACACACAGATCAGTGTGGTTGAAACACATTAAAGATTTTTATGAATTAGACATGTGCATTGGCTATGGGTATAGGAGAAATAATGTCATTGGTTACTTCACAGGATCTATAGTGAATCAAACTTGAGAAATAGTTTCAGGAACCACTTGGTTCAGATTTGTATGAAGATATCATTTTGATGTTACTACTTAGTCAGGCACCTTCCCTTGGAGTAATATGTGCCATGCAGTCAAAGAAAAGAAAAAAAAAAACCTTCCTCTCCCCCCCCCACATACAAACAAACAAACAAACGAAAAGCAGGAGTTGGCTGGGAAATGCAGTAAAATGGCCAAGAAAGATGAAAGAATGATTCCCATCATCTTGAGCAGATCTCTGCTTGGAGCTCTCTGCTGCTTGCTGTGCATTAAATCATTGCCACAGCATAGTAGAAGTGTGTGGCTAGTTTGAGGTTTTCTTAAGCAAGTTGCACATCTTAAGCTTTGATACTGATCCTTCTCCTGGCCTTCATGCTTGTAGCTCATTTTTTGAGAAGTTTACTGAACGGAGGAAACATACCTTTTCATATTTCTCTATCTTTATGTAAAGGAGAATGGTATCTATCTGAAGCAGTAGGTCATTCATTCCTTATTTATCCAGCTGTCTCCTGATACTCCTCTATGTCATGATTAGTACCACATTATCAAAAAAGAGCAAGGAACTGGAGAGAATTAAGGACCCATAAAAGGAAAAATCAAAGACAGGCCAACATGACAAAAATCATATGACATGAATAAGATGCTTAAGCTTTGATTAATAAGTATAAGACATTATGGAAGTCAAGGAATATTTGATACATGTGAGAGCTTCAAAACTGTAGCAGATAAAACATTAGCAGCAGATAGAAAGTATTCTAAAGGGCAAACTCTCATGTTCAGGAAGAAGGCTGAGATTACCTGGTAGGTCTTTTCCTTCTCCATTTTCTGTGCTTCTTTAGTTACTGTCCATCTTATGTACCTCTCCCACTGCACTGAAGCCCCTTAGATACATAGGCAGATAAAATGGCTGCACATTCTTGACTCTTTAAAGCTCTCTGGGACACAGTTCCATATTTGATGGTCTCAGGAGAAAGAGAAGCTTTAGAATACTAATGCCTGGCATAAATCATTACTCTTTTTGCAAGCATGCAAATACTAGTTCATCATGGCAATTAGTTCATCATAGAATATATTTTTATTTCATTAGAAACAGCAGTGTTGATGAAAAACTGCAGTAATAGAACACTTAATCATTATAAAGACATTTTCACGTAAGCTTGTATGAATTTAGATGAAAAGAGGTAAGTATTTTCAAAATGTTTGGACTTGGTCTTCTACAATGATCTTTCATTGCTTTGGAAGATGGCAGATTTGTATGTCAGAAAAATTACCGAGACACCCTAGTATGTACTCAAGAACCTAATTTTCTGTGATCTTTCATTTTAAATTCAGTTGAAAAACCTTAAAAAATGAAGAATGCTGCTTATATACATTTCTCTTTCTTCCTTGTTGCTGATTTCTTAATTTTTTATCTGGATATGGAGTTACTTCTTAAGCATAGGGGTCTTGTGGTTCGTTGTTTTGAAAAATTCTATAGAAACATTACCAAATATTACCTAGTTCTCTGGGACAATTTTGCAGTTTTATTATATTAAGCAGAGATGTGTTCAGCAGGTGGTTTATTTAAATTTAGAACACTTTTCAGAAAGATTGAGCTCAATATTAGGGAGGCAGAATCAGGCCCTGTAGTTTTCGCCTGGGTTGTCTCATTGCATTTTATTCTTTAAGTTTCCTTAGTTATCAAAGTCTTTATTGGTGTGAATACTGTATGAGCAGGAGAGTTGGGGATTCACTTTTAGAATCTATTTTTCTGTTGGCTTTTTTTTTTTTTTTTGAGATATCATGCCTACTAGAGTTATTTAATGTAACTTTATGAGGTGCACTAAACTAATTATTTTGACTGCATTATTAAAACAACATGTTCAGTCCTAATATTTAGGATTACAGCAATTTGAAATGTACATTTCACATCCGCAGAGTTTCATTCTTATAAGAGAGATATATTGTGAGAGTTTTGCATATTATATTTAAGCAATAGATATAAACTAAACTTGTTAAAATTAAAAAGCGATTACTTGGTTTATCACTGTTTACCTTAAAAAATATTACCATCTTGAGAAAAAGGAAAAAGAACTTGTGGGGCAGGACTTTACACACTGACTTTTTGGACGACTGTTGTTATGAATATCACTCACACTCAATGGGTAATCAATTAGATCTATGCTTTCTTTGCAGCTCTTTCCAAACACTTTTTTCTCCGAGCCCCGCCATTCTACTCAGCGTGCTGCGGTGGGTCCTGTCAGCACCCTGCATCCCCCACTGCTTTTCCAAGTAAGTTTTTATGCTTCATCAGTAATGCTTGAGTTATTCTGTAAACCAAAGCAGCAGGATTTAATGTGTTCTGGAAAGCTAATTGGTGATGCAATGGCAGCGGCTAATTCCTTAGTAAAATCACAGCAATCCTATTCAGAAGGTTTCCAAAGATTTATCAAACTTAAGTACACTGGGCAATTGTGAGAGATTTCTAATGGCATTGAGACACCCAGACTGAGCTAACCTAGGAAATCTCCTTGTTTTCAGTTTACTAGAAAAGGTTCTTTTAAAAATCAGTAACTCTTTAAAATCTGTCAATAAACATTTGCAAATAAGAAAAGAGCTGAAAGATCATAAAATGGATGCTGTATTTTAATGTCAAGGATAAATTATGATTCAGGAAGCTCTAGCATTATTTAAATAAAATAGTCATTCTTTTTGGAGCAGTCAAATGCATGCATGTGTTTAATTTTTTTTTCTTTTTTTTTTAAATTATGATATAAAAATCTGAAGACAAACGTTGAGGAGAATTTTTGCCAGTGTACCCTTTGCACCCAGGATTAAAAGCTGAAATAAATTGCCATTCAAATCTAAATTTAACCTTGATTGTGAAGTTTGCATGCCCTGTTGTAAGAACATATATTCTTAATTTTACATGTTTATGGCTCAGAAACATACAGAAGACTTCTGGTCTTTCAAAAATTGTCAAATCCAAATGGGAACTGGAGTTCATGCGTGCTGTAGTGTATATTTTTTTATCAGTTACATTCAGACCCTTCCTGACTACGTGCATGTGTTTTATGAACGTTTCAGAAGAGCAGTTGCTAAGTTGAATGATTCTTGACAAGTGAGGCAGCAAATGCTGGCAGTTTAATGAGCTGCAAGTTTCTGAGCACCTCTTTAGGGGGCTGACACTTTCCCACAGAGCATTCTACATGGCCCCGGCTCTCCCACAATGGCTGACAGCACCATGACCAATCACCACTTTCACTTTACTCATCCACACGCGACCTCACCACAATTTTTCACTGTGCAGATGAACTTTAGGAACCATTTCACATTGAAAAGGCCTGGGCAGGGGTCAGTTGCGCTTTTGTATGGCCATAAAGCAATACTCTATGTGCCAGTCTTTTCTCCTGTCTCACATTCCAAGAGATTTTCGGGACACCATTTAAAGCACTTGACTGAAAAATAAAGCAGTGAATGAAACTGACTTTTATAGACTCATTCTAGCTCATCTTCCCATATAACCCTGTCTACCTGAAAAGGGATTTAGTGGATGAGCTAAGTGTATACAGGGACTTGCTGAATACATAGGCCTATTATCAACTGTGGGGATTGTTTATTAACCAGGACTGATACACTACTATTTTGGAAGTGACCTATTAATTGTCCATTTAACTAGAATGTATTGAGTTCAAATGAAAAAATGGAAACCATGACTAAAGCTTTTACTTGCTCCTTCAAGGTGGTCTCTGCCACGAAGGCAAATGAAGATTGTTGCACAGATTAGGGGGGACATTTATCACTATATACTAGGATACAAACAAAAGTCTTAAAAAAAAACAACAACAACAACACACACACACAAAAAAAAACAACACACAAAAAAACTGGCAACATGGGGAAAGTTTGGTAACAGATTCACATTTATGTCAGTAGAACATGAAGTCTTTTGATGCACCTTCACAGCCACAGGTTTCAAACTAACTTATTTACAAAGTAACAAACTAACTTACTTCATTTCAGTGGAGTTGTTATAGTGAATGAATGAGTGTTTCTAGCTAACTGAAAAATCATTTAACTGACTAACGGAATTGTACTTTTTGAGTGCAGAGTCAGAATACATCTTGAAATATGGGGTGTTCTTGAAATCTAGGCTACTCAACTGGGGATAAGTATTTGTTATCTCAAACATGAGTCTCAATTTTTTGACTCAGTGATGGGTGACCCAACAGTTGCTTTCTGCTGCTTGGGATTGTTCTGTTTATGATTAAATTTTGTTCAGTTAGACTTTTAGAATCAGTCACGTATTGTGCCTTAGAGTGTGTACATTCTTCACTACTACGTTACTCTAATGCAAGTGTTAAGCTGTAGCCTGCATGCTGCCTGTAGAGGAATTAATTGGCACCTCAGGAGGCAGGCAGGAGGTTGTTTCTTTGCTGATTGACTGTGAACAACCAGCCAGGCAAGACAAATTTTAAGGGGTCACGTAATCTGGCATCCTGTGTCCTGGGTTGACAACTCCATTGTGGAATTCATCCTGGGTGTCAAGGGCTAGCCCTGTGAAGCTCACTAGTATCTCTTGTCCTGTGAGAGAAAGTACCAGCTCTTCCACTGTCATACTGTACCTTCAGCACACTTGAAAACTGCTGATGATTCATCAGAAATGACTTGCAGGTTCTCTGGAAAAAGGAACCTAAATTCCCCATACTCCAGCGAGATGTACATAAAGCACAAGTAAGGAGGAAGGGCTGGTGTTTGCAGCCAGCTTTGTGAGCAGGATCAGATCATGGTGGGAGAGGCTTGACGGAACTATGTGCTCCTCAGAGAAATATGACCCCAGCTTGCCCTTTATGGAAGCCACCGCTGTGACATTTTGACTTTTGTTCTGCAGATAGTTTGTTTTGGTTTGGATGGAGAGTCACAATGTGATAAATATGAGGACAGTAGCCAGTAGGTTATGATTTTTTGTATCTGGTTCCAAATATTATTTTGAAAACTGAAAAACATCCATATAAATTTATACTTCTTAATACCATAACATTTTAAAGCAAAATAATTACTTTTTGCCAGACGCTGTTATAAGGGACAAATAGAAAGATGGTTTCTTAAGGTGTGGAAAAGATTTAAAAAGGCATATCTAGTAGAAGCTGCTAAAAGCAGTAGTTCCTAAATAGTGTTTGACAGTGATCTTTAGGGAAAGATCACTGTATACTTGCTCAGCTATTATTATTCATCCTGTACTGGTCACACTTGAAGGCAGGATACATGGGTAATGTATATAATATCAAACAAGTAGAACATGTGCCATGGAAGTAGCACAAGTCAACTTTGCAAGACATACATACACACACTTTAATTTTTGATTGTCGTGCCTACACTGTTCTACAGTACCCTCTGTGTATGTGTGTGTTTTTTTCTCTACTGCTGTTTAAAGATACATGTACTCCTGTGTATTTATGTATAATATACAGAATTTGAAATGTGGTGTAGCCGCAAGGAACAGTTTGTGAAAACTGCATCTGGATTTGATTAGTGTTTTCAAGAACACTGCGTTTATTTAACGAATGTATTTAATTCATCTTCACTACTTTCACGGTTGACTAGAATAGACCTTTTCATGAAAGAAACGAACAGAGTTTTCAAAAATCTGGTTTAGATAAGAGTTTTGCCATTGGCTTTGATATGGAAATGATTAAATCCTTGGCAGAAATTGAACAGCAGCACACCTTTGCAGCTGCTGTAGCTCTAAACTGGGACATCAGTCTTGACTTGTGCTTGTGGGAAGGTGTCATCAACAGGACAGCTTACACCTTTAAAGTCCAAATTGCAAGTGACACAAACCAAAGCCACCTTTGTGGCTGCCCTCTCACAGAAAGGTCATAGGTGTCTGTCTGTACGGTATGGCATGAATCAAAGGACTGCTCTTTGTAAGTGTCTCATGCGATTTCACCTCTAATGCTTGGTGACAAGCCCTATTCAACTAATCTCAGGTACTGCTCCCTAGGTGAGCATCTGCGGAAACCTGTGACTGCTGGAGGCATGCCAAGCTTCCCTAGGACCGGAGGCTCCCATTAAATTACACCATGTCTGTGGGAGAGGGTGCACAAGAAAGCACTAGGATTTTGGGATTTACTGGGCATGAGGAAGGCAAAACATTTATTTGAATTTATTTTTCATGTGCTCTTTGTGAGGCCAATGAAGAGACAATGCGGGTACTTCCACTTTTCCATTGCAGTTCTGTCTTACACATTTAAGGTTGTTTTCTATGGTAGGCTTCCCTCTAGGTGTAGATCAAGTGGGTATGATTGAATTCATTGAAATCTGCCTTACTAAGGACTTGCTATGGGATGTCAAAGGATTAGAAACTAAAGTGAAAGGAATAAATTCAAGTACTCCCCAAATCCTGTAATAAAGAAATTGCTGTGGTTTCCAGAATAAGTAAGTGAATGGACAGGGATTTTCTGAGAAATAGTTCTCTCTGAAAGCCTTTCATTAGTAAACAAAACTAAAGAAAGCCTATTTAGATTCATTGAATCAGTGTTACAGACTGCTTTTTATCTGGTTCTGCATCTCACACAAAAAAATGAACTCCTAGGAAATCTTACTGTGGTTTGCTCAATGACAATGTGCAAAAGAAAGCAGAGTATTTCTTCCCGGTATTTGAATTTTACAGTAGTATGGGCCCAGTGTTAATGTTCCTCTATGAACTCATCTGATTTACTCTTTGCCATGTCAAGGGGAGACTCTTTACCACTGACAACACCTCTAGATCCAAGAGAGGATTTAGCCCTTAATGAACATGACTGAAGCATTACGACACACTTCTAACACCAACAAATCAAAAGTGGGACAGTGGTCTGCTAGCATTTTAATGAACAGCACTTAATATTTCTCTAATATATGTTAGTTATTATGTGAAACTCTCATTTATTTCCACTAGGAGAGGAAAGTGTCCTGCCTCTTCTGACCCAGGAGTCTAACTCCAAAGCCCGGAGAGGTATATTAAGAAGAGCTGTCTTTTCTGAAGACCAGAGGAAGGCTTTGGAGAAAATGTTTCAGAAGCAGAAGTATATCAGTAAAACAGACAGGAAGAAACTGGCCATTAACCTGGGCCTAAAGGAGTCTCAGGTAAGGAATGACAGAAAATCTGTAACTTTTCATCATTTTGAAGAAAAATCTTTAAAATGGCCTTGAAGGGGGAAAATGGAACAGCATAGAGCGAACCCTGAGCTGCTTCAGCCCGACCTCAGTACCAGGGAATATTGTGGAACAGATCATCTTGAGTGCAGTGACATGGCAGGTGCAGGACAACTGAGGGATCAGGCCCAGGTAGTGTGGGTTCATGAAAGGCAGCTCTTACCTGACCAGCCTCATCTCCTTCTATGATTGAGTGACCCGTGTAGTGGATGACGGAAAGGTTGTTGATGTAGTCTGCCTAGACTTCAGCAAAGCCTTTGATGCTGTCTTCCAGAGTATTCTGGAGAAGCTGGCAGCCCGTGGCCTGGATAGGTGAAGTGTACCTGGATAGTTACACTCTTTGCTGGGTAAAAAACTGACTGGATGGCCAGACCCAGAGATTGGTGGTGAATGGAGTTAAATCCAGCTGGCAACCGGTCATGAGTGGTGTTCCTCAGGGATTGGTACCAGGGCCCATCCAGGGAATTTTGAAAGTGCTAGAGTAGACACCTATTTCTGGAGTGTGTCTGAAAGAGAGTGAGAGTTGACAGTGTGATTGAATGTCTTTGCATTTGGCAGGAGTAAATGTGCTTAAGATATGTATGGCAGGAGCTGTCTGGTGAGCAGAAAAACCTGGGAATGATGATGAGAGCCCTCATCTTTTTTTTTTCTTGGAGATTTTCAGAATTTGACAAGGCCCTAATCAGTTAAATCTAACTTTGCAATTGGCTTCATTTTCTATGGAAGATGAGATGCTGTGATTGCTTGCAACCTGAATGACTCTGACTCCATCTCAAGCCAGCTATAAACAATAAAATAAACAGTATGAACGAAGCTGTCATCTCTGCAGGATAAACCATTTTGTTTCAGTGAAAATGTGCAATTGCATTCACCAGTGAGCTTCCTAAAAAATCCTAGCATATAGTCAGATTCCTAATATCACAGCTGTTTTTACTGAGATTTTCTTCTACGTTCTTGATATTCAAGAGAGCCCTGGGAAATAAGAAAATAATGGAGTGAGACACAGATAATAGCTACCACAACAGGAAAATAATTTTTTGATGTTGATAGACTAGATGATACCCATGTCTAATTATTTTTTTCTCATAAAAAGAAGAGTACCATGTAACCATGAACCATGAAGATTAGTTTTTCAGTTGTCTGACTGACTGCACTGGAGTAGCGGTTCCTGCCAGCTAAGGCAGTGACTCTCAGTCCTTTTCAGGTGCATCCCCTTTGCCTTTGTATCAAGTATCTGAATGCTAGAACTTCATGCAGATATTTAAGAGAAAAAAGAATATAATGTGAATAATCTGTTTGGATTCCCTTCCACAAATGCTCAGTCCTTCTCTTAATCTAACAGTTCCTAAGCGCATATTTCCCTAAGCTTTTCCCAGCATTTCATTAATGTCTTTGAGCACCCAAGCTTTGTAAATAAAAGTTTCTGAAAAATGAATTTTATTTCAGAAGCACATGATTCTAGGTAACCCCTTGGAAAACTGTATTTAGACAGATAAAATATCTTTAAATTGTAACTTCTGTGTCATTTTGAAGCTTTATGATGACAAAGCTTTGCTTGCAGATGGGACAATCTTAGCTCTTATAGCCACTTTTAAAAAGAGTATTTCCCATTGCTAGTATTATCACCTAATTTTGTTAATGGTTTGCTTTGGAATTGGAATGGCTAGCATTGGAAATGCTAGTTTCCACTGAGAATTCTTATCTGTGCAGAAAGATGATACTGAAGGAGACTGCAAAATCCCTAACATTGTCTTCCATCTTTCCAGTTTACACCATATAATCACTTGCTTGTGGTAGGGAAAGTCAAAGACAATATTTAGCTCAGCTGTAGAAAATAGGAATTGAAAAATGCTTAGCTAATGTCAATCAGTCAGCTTAACTGGATCTGCTATAACATCAAGTAAAGAAGGAACATGAAGCTAAGGGTATGGAAAATTAAAAAACAAACAAAAAAAAGCATGTAAAGGCAATGTTATTTAAAGAAAAAAATGCTAATAAATTCTCATTAACTTGCAAACAGGTAAAAATTTGGTTTCAGAATCGAAGGATGAAGTGGCGAAACTCCAAAGAAAAGGAAGTGCTTTCAAACAGGTGCCTCCAAGAAGGTCTCCAGGAAAACTACCTCTCACAGTCTACCATGAATTTTGCCTCCCCATGTCCCTCTGTATGGGAAGTGTCACAGGAGCAGACAAGTCCAAGGTGGAGGGAGAAGTCTCCAGGAAATTCTGAAAGACTGGCTAGTATACAGCCACCTCCAAGAGCAAACGCATCACAGAGCCCATTGTATTTGTATCCTGACCATGACACTGCAAATAAGGCAGTTACATCAACAACCTAAGAAAGTAGGGCCAGTTTGTAAATTGAGTGGAGAGTGCAGGCTTCAAATGAGAGGTTTTCTGAGACTAACAATATTTGGACACTGTAAAGCTAACTAGTTATGCCTCCTAAATTTGCTAAAGTCTAACACCATTAAAATGACAACTAATGATTTAAGAAATATTTTTCAATACTCAGTCTTTTCATGTCTCTTTTCCAGTCTTGTAATGACCTTAAATGTGAAATAGAAATTGATGGTAAGTAAAACAAAGTGAAGAGCATGAAGCTGAAGTTTTGCTCTGAGTTAAACATCTGCACTGTGTATAGATTTTCATTAAAACACACTGATAGAAAACCACTTCTATCTCTCATTGCATTTAGAACAAGCAATTTATTTTATGCATGAGATGAGAATAACCCTGTTTCCCCGAAGGTAATAAGTTGCTTTGGGTTCTTTTTGAGATTGATTAAATGACACAGTAGGTGTGTATTAGATAAATGTAAGCATTTTTAGTATGTTTCCACCATCTGTCCTCACCTGTATCAGTATCCAGCTAGTTGTAAATAGTGCAGTCGCACATCAGCCGATAACCATAGTAAAGTATGCAATAAAAAGACAAACAGCCAATAAAATGGACTGTGTTTAAGCCACTTTGATTTGGATGCATACTGGGAAATACAATTCACTAACTCCTTTATTTTTTTCTTGTGGGTGAAACCGAAACTCAGCTCAATTTCAGTGGATTTTGTCAGATTATCAGTGCAATCTCTCATAATCTGTGCTGTATTTCAAAATAGTGATGGCTATACACGGAATTATTGTCCAAATGGACTAGGCAAGAGAGCTAAATTGGAAAATCTACCAATGCAGCCTCTCTTAGAGAAGTACTGAAGGAGACGGCATGCTGTAGTTGTCTGATTCCTGACTTATTCTTCATTAAACTGGTACCCATTAGTACGTGTAAGCATATATCTGTATTAAAGGCAGGACAGCATTCTGTGTAAGGCAAGGACCTTGAAATAGTAGTATTAAAATTACTCAACTTGAAATGATATGCTTGCTTCATCCAGTTGAAGGAAATCACTTTGGAAGATAATGATCAACTTTACTTCATTTGAAAGGCTTTGGAGCTCAAAATGGGAGCAGAAGGGGCAGCTTTTTGTTGTTTGTTTGTTTTTTTAATCATACATTTATGGTTGCATCTGTTGAGAATAAGAATGGAAGGTATTGTATCCTGCAGGCAAAAACTTTTGGAGAACATTTTGGCTTTCTAAGGTCAACATGATCTGTGTCAGATAGCCAGAAGAGATGGTTATAGTAATCTGGCTTTCCTCATCATGTATGTTATGAATGTCTCTAATTATTCCTGCTTTCAGCTCCAAAAGTTTTTGAGTTGCGTTGTGTATCTTCCAGAAAAACATCCAGTTATTTAATGTTTAGCCTCTGGAGGATCATCTACTACTCCCTTTGTTACATGGTACTTGGGAGGTGAAGTTTAGATACAGTTGCAGCTAAGGAACTTAAGTTGCAATGACAAAGGTTGTATCATAAACTGTATGCATAATTAGATGAGTTTTGTAGCCCACTGTGTGCATGGTGTGTCTTCAGAGTGCTCAGCTCTGCTGTGCCAGTCTCACACGATATGTCTTTCTTTGCCTGTGCTTTCCTGGGCTGTTTTTAAAGGAAAAAAGGCATTACAGAAAAATTCAGAAGTCATCTCATCCTCTGGTTGCAAACCTTTGTTACTGTAAGCTCTCTACATCCCCACCCTAGCAGAACCCTTGAACACATGTAATATGCCCTGTGTTATAGTATGCCCTGTGTTATATGTTCTTCAATTCTGTGAAGAATTTATTCCCATCCTGCAATAGAAATCCTAGAACTTACTCATACTCTGCCTGAAATCTTTAGACATGGATGGACAAATCCACATCCACACATGAAGATGAATTTACTTTCTAATTGTCCTGCCCTGCTTGACTAGCTCCTGCCTGAAAGACTAGTAAGTGCTGGTGGGCCAGAGTCTTAAGAAATGCTATTTGCTGGTGTCTGCCTACAGCGAAAGGCATACAAATATTTACAAAATGTCATCAAAGAATCAAGTGGAGGTACACGTCCTTCCCATTGCAGAGGAAATTGGTGTGTGGCATGAGAATTTTTTAGTTTTTTTCCCATCTCCCTTTTCATGGATAGCAGTCTTTACAACTGCTCATATTTTTTTTCCCACAAGTCAATCAAGAGTCAGTGCTAAAAGCAGCATAGATTTATGGACAGAGAAGATGGGATTGAGAGTCCTCCCAGTGAAATTCATTCAGCTGCTGATGTTATAAGCATTGAATGGAAACTGCTGTCAAACCTTCCAGCTGATGTGCTGGGCAGGTTTTGACCTCACTGAGGCAAGGATCAAGCAAGGCTCATGCTGAATTGGTTTCGTAGTTAGAATGTGATAAGTCTTTTAAATTGAGCAAGTTCTGGTTTTACCATAGCCTGCTAAAACACCACTCCAGGCTCACCATATCTCTAACACCTCCTACTGGTGTACCTATTCCAAAGGTAGAAGAAAGTTTCAAGATGTGAGATAGAGTATTCTTTACTTGAAAATGCTTACCAAGCTTTCTTCAAAACCCTAGAAATACACCTGGTGAATTTTGAATTATGTGTAAAACAGCTTGATGCAATTAGTTAAAGTGGACTTAGCCCATAACATATACAACCTTGATTACTCTCGTTTTAAGCTATTTGAAGAAGTTTCTCTTTGGTCCATCCTATGGAATTTTGGTAAAGGAGAATATGAATACAGAAAATAAGAGAGTTTTACAGTGGCAGTCTTTTCATATGAAAGACCAAGTTGTATGTATTTGTTTTCCTCAGTGTATGAACACAAGTTGTAAAAGAACAAAGCAAACTCCAATTCTATGCAGAATCCCCTGCAGGTGTTTTAAGTACATCATGACAGGCATACTGTGAAGATGTAGGGTACAGAATGCATCTGGCTTGGTATTTTGAAGAGACCTAACAGAGACTGATGACATCTTACAATTAAAACCAGGAACGTACTACTTTGACTTCAAAGGTACGGCCCAGTGGGTGACCTTGCATCATTCTTGTAGGATATCTGAGGTACTTCCTATGCATGGTATTGGAGAACGTATATGGTTCACACCTGTAAAATATTGTGAAGGACATTTGTTGGGATCCCATGGCTTGGCAGGGTTTAGGTACCTCAAATTTTGAAATTCAGTAGAAACCAAACTCTGTAGAGGCTCTAAATAACACAGATACTTTTGCTTGCTGAGCACCTCTCTGCCTTGGCAACCTCTCAAAGCTAATGTAATGTAGATCACAAGAGGGAAAGGGAGGAAGGTCTGAGCCTCAGCACTGCCTTTGCTGACACAGCTCAGACTTTGGTGCTCTTGGGCTATGGTGCTGGAGCAGGGACCTTGCTGCACACTGGAGCAACCTCAGGTCCAGGAGAAGCATTTCTCTCCTCCCCTATTGGAGATTGTCCAGATGGAGATCCTGAATAGCGATCCTGAAAAGGTGTTCTTGGGAACTCAATTGCTCCGTTACTGAACCAGGAGGTGCTGATTTCCATTGCTGGCTCTTGGTCTTGTTTTATAAAGGAAATCACAAAAGAGTGGCAGACTGCAATTTGCTGACTATAGCCATGCTAGCACTCACACTTTGACTGTGCACTCTTATAGAATTAAATAATTTTCAAAAATATGTCTTGCTTTTACTAATTCTCTGCCAAAAGAAGCTGTGATGATCTGCTTAAGGGAACAGGCTGCTTTAAGGCACAAAACTGCATTACTAACTTCAATGTCAGAGCAACAATACAGTGGTCAAATGTCACTCCTTAGCTGCACTAAAACATCACATTTGTTTTATCCACTGTGATTTACTAGTACTGGGTTTTAAATGCCAGTTGCCATTGCTGTAGCTGCACAGCTCCTCTGATGAATATACGTTCCACAGTCAAAAGCCTGACATAAATTAAGTCCATTCACTTGCTTCAGCACCCTCTACCAACAATACCATTACTGATCTTCATAGAAAAGAAAGGAAGACAAACCAATTTTAAGCAAGTTAGCTGTAAATTCAGTGCCCAAAGAAAGGCATGGAGAGAAATTAGGACCCAATTAACTTTAGACTTCATTTTGAACTATGAGGTGACCAAAAGGCCCCTGCAGAGAGAGGTTCACAGTCTTATGTGGACTAAGTTGCCATTGACTACAGAATTCTTCAACGACTATGCTTCTAAGTGCATGGTGACTGGTGTTGTGTGAAATATGCCAAGGTATGTCAGCTTGGATCTGAGATGCTCCCAACGCATGCTTGTACTTCAATCATTTGCTGGCCAGAAGACAACACTCCTTGGTTTCCCATAGATACTGATTGCAGTTGCAAGCAATAAAACTGGTTATGGTGGATGGGAACATCACACAGCAACAGCTTGATAGTGAGCCTCCAGCATTTACCCAAACATACAACTATCGAGTGTTGTATAAACACTCCACTCTTGAGGAATTCTTGAGATTTTCCAAGTCATTTTGTCCTTGTTTGTCAACATTCGAATGTGATACAAAGTAGCTGAAAGTTAATGTAGATCCTTCAATGAAGTCTGCTTCCATTTTTTTTTCCTATTCACTATCATACAATTTTAGATAAAAATTAAACTGTAACAAAAGTCTCTAAATTCTTTCACTTAATTTGCCATGCCAAACACCAGCACATTATCAGATTCAACCTAAATTTAAGATATATTATGAAAGTCCTTTAACACATTATGAAAAAAAACAGTAAGTCACTGAAAGTGTCTACCATATACTTCATCATCCTGAAAAATGGAAAAATTACCATTAGGAAATTTCCTAACATACAAAAGCAACTTCTAATAATTGAAAAAAATAAATGCACTATGCAAAAAAATAAAAAAATAGATAAAATTCTGGGGCTGTGCTGCAATATTTCATTTAATAAAGTCTGAAGAAGAGTGGAAATATTTTAAATTCTTAAATTCATTTAGCTGATGAGGAAAGTTAATCAAAACATACTGTTCCACTAACAGAAATTACACTGCGACTTATGTGTATCACACCTTGTTGCATACTGAAGCATATAGGATAGTTTGGTTAGGTTGTGGTTGGACTCGATGATCTTTAAGGTCTTTTCCAACCTGAGCAATTCCATGATTCTATTCTATGATTCTATGATTCTATTCTATGATCTGAGCACTTAACTGGAAACAAAATCTTATTTTCTGATTTTCTATTAATTTGCAAAGCTTGTCTCCTAAATTAGTATTTTCAGCTGTGATGATGCATTCTTCAATGTAAAAGTGTTTAATTTTAGTGCACATTTTTACATTTTCACATATTTGTAACTAATTTCATTGCTGTCGTGAAGAAAAATCATGCAGAAGATGAAGTATTCCCCAGCGTAAAAAGCAAAAGCAACCATCACTGATATTTCTACTTGAGACATCTGTGGCCAGACAGCAAAGCATGCCCCTTTCAGCCAGCTGGTCAATTGTTTTCTTGGTGAAAAGAGGAAGCAATGTGTTGGTGGTGGTACAGGAAGACATTTGTCTCACCAGCATGCCTCACTTCAGCCAAAGGCAAATCTTGCAATACAACACCACTTTGTGGCAGCAAGTTAGTATGAATGACTATAGACAATACTTGGGTGCATTGCTATTTCTTCTGTGGCACTTCTTTTATCATTTTCTGTTTCCATATTTCTCTACAGCAAGGATTTCTAGAGCTTTGCTTTCTGCATTTTTAGGATCTGCTTGACTTGCAAAATGTTTTCCATGTGGCATCAAATGCTATCCATAGCATATCTTCCTACCTGTGGAGGGACCTGGTAGCAATTGGAGTTCGTTTTCCCAGTCCTTGCCAAGTCATCCTGCACACTGGAAACCAAAAAGATTCCTCTTTGTAGAGGCTGTGGTATACATGGCCCTAGGCATGACACCACTGCGCCATCTCTCCTAGAGACACAAAACCATCCAAAATCCACAGATAATACTCCATCTAGACTCCAGGGCATGACCATTCTCTCCTGGGGAAACAGGGACGAGTGCTGGGCACCACAGTGCCTGCCTCACCCTGCCCTTCCCATATCCCTGCCCTCACTCAGGCTGCCTGGGGCCTGGGTCCAGCACCCTGTCAGGCCCTCAGGGATGTGGCAGCAGGGTGAGCAGTGCTCAGGGCAGCCTGGGGGCAGGACAAGATGTGGGGTAGTGGGCCTTCGGCCTGGGCAGCAGTTCAGAGTGCAGGGAAGGGAGACCTTGGCATGCAGCAGCTGGAGGGATGGTGCCATCACTTCTGTGGCCCATCCCTTCTGCTCTTGCTTGGTTGCTTCCTTACACAGGCGTAGTGACAGAAAAGATAGTGTGCATACTCATATAAAAATAACAGGAACTGTCATGCTCTTGCCAAGCTCTTCATCTGCAGGACCTGCTCCCCATGTGTCTCTTCCATCCGCTTTGCTTTGACTCAGTAAGCCCTCTTGTGTCTGCCACCACTTGTAGGACAGCTATTACTAATCTCTTGTGGGCAATGTCCTCCTTACTGGGAAGGAGTGAGGCTGCATCCCAACACTGCTTTTCCCTTTTATTTATGCACACTTTCACAGTTATGGCATTTCAGGCACAGGAATAATCCCTGCTGTGGCTGCACCAGGTGACACTATGCACTATGTTCACCCCCAGTTACTAAGTTTTTCATGGGCACTTCTCAAACTGATGCGTTAAGAGGGTTTGAGAGTGAAATCACTGAAAGCAAGACACAGAATTCATGAACTTTGTTCAAGAGTAGATGATGCAGCTGACAGAAATGAATGACAAAATTACTAATTGCTCCATTGCTTTCTGGGACTGTGGACAGATAGAAGCACAGCTGCGGTGCCTCTCCAATTCTGTCTGCTTTCCCAGAGGAACCCTTCCTTTATTCTATTTGGAGATATGTTTTGTTTCCAGGATTTTTCAAATGCAGCCCTTTAGCTATATGCATTAGTGGCACCCCCTTGCCTAAGGAATTGCAGGTCGTAACTTCTTTGGGGCAGGAGCTGTGTAGCCATTGCACTTCTAGCATACCTAGCACAAGAGATACAAATTGTGAACATTCACAGCTTCAAGCTGAGGAAATATATCAGTATTTCGGTATCGGCAGTTACTGAGATGTGACTGAAAATGTTGTTCCTTTGCTTTACATATATGTTCCTTTGAAGCATTTCCCCATTTTCTGAGTTTCTCGACCAAATTCAGCATCAATATGAAACAGTCATCAGCATTTTACTCTACATTCTTGGCAGCCTGAGCTTCCGCAACTGTCAGCAACCATCAAGATCAGAGGAGGCCAGAAAAGAGCATTCAGGGATGAAATAGTCAAGAAGACTAAAGATAAATCCATGTTGGTTATAAATTTCTATTTAAAGGGCTCATTTAGGATGTGAATGCAGAGAGCTTTTGTTCTATAAACAGCAGTTAGACTACTCCACTGGTAGGGAAATGTGATTACTGTAAAATCTCTTGACAGCTTTCAGATTTTTATTCACTGTGAAGTTTGTCATCACTACTGTAAAATCCAAGCACTGGGTCAGGAAACACTATGGGAAAGACTCACTGCTGCATCAGCCATACCCAACTCTCACATTGAAATGGCACTTAGATTAGGATTGAGCAGTGTTTTACATGTGGAAACTTGTAGTATTTAGATATATCTGTATCAAGGTTTACCAAACTAACTTTCATTTTCAGCTGCGTGTATGTCTAAATTGTGCCAAAGACATCAGTTCATCTACAGCCAGAGTACTCCTTTTTGTCTTTGTGTGTTTACCCACATACACACATGATGCTTTATTAAATATTCCATCAGCATAGGATAACAGTCTCAAGTAACTGCAAGAATTTCCAAACCTTTCTCCTAATAAACTTATTATAAATAAATTATATTTTTCTATCTAAATAAACAGCATGCTGAAAACTGCTTGCTAAGAGATTACTACTCAACAACTGTTTTCTGGCATAATCCTACATTTCAGAATTTTTAAGTAGCTTTGTACTTTATTGGAGTCTCTCCTGAAACAGTGAATAAAGTCAGAGTCACTCATCATATTTGCTTCATTACTAATTGATAAGCCAGCAGCTTCAGATGATGCCATTCCGTGTAATGAATTGCTGATGATGCCCATTGACTGCATCTGTATTGGAAACAGGAAACGAAGTACAAGAAGTAGTTACATATAAACAAATCTTTAAAATACTGGTGCACAGGTCAAGCAAAGTGTCACTGTGTTGCACTGTTCTACCCCAGCCCTTTCACATACACATAGCTCCTTACAGAGAAATAACACTGCCTTTTCTTCCTAACAGCACCCATAACTATGACTGGCCTGAAATGATGTGATTGACCAGTAATGCAGGAATTACAAGGATTACAAAATCTAAATTTAAGCAGAAACCACTGCTGATGATTGTTTCCTCAAAGTAATACAGTAAATCTGTCTTAAGACTTGCAGTCATTTACATTAGTGAGTTTTGTCCACAGAATTTTGTGATGTGAACATTTGCCAGATGCTGTTTCAACTGGTGAAATCTGGAGATTGTGATGATTGCCTCCCAGAGGTAGCAGCTTCACCATATGAACCAAGGTTAGAATTAGTGTCTTATCACAAAGTAAAACAATCCACAAAGAATCCCCCTCCTCCCAAAACCAACCAACCAACCAAAAACAACACAAAAAACCTGAAATATTGGGTTACATTTGTATTGTTCACTTCATTTTTTTTAATTATATGTCTACTGTGTAACATGTCCATGGCACATGAGAGGTCAGAATGGACATACACCACAAAAAATTCGGTGTTCATTTTGAGTAATTTCCTCAGAAATAAAAGTAAATGTATGAGAAGTGTGTAACTAGTTCAGAACTTGATGGCTTGTTTCAGTTACAGTGAAGCAAACCTGGGCCAAGCTGTGGAATACCTCTGAACTTTAAGGCAGCTCAAATCCAGACCTGGGGCTGCACTTTGATGATGAATTTTGCCATTTGTAACTCTCGGAACCATCCTAATTAAGACTGCATGTATACAGTGGTGAGTTGTTTATCATATTAAAACTTGTGTGTGCTCCCCACCTGTGCTCATAAAAGATGAAAGATGATCCACTTATGCCAGACAAAAGTTTATCATTCACTTTTTAGTCAAAATGGGCCCCTTGCTAGTGTAACCATTTCAGAGAATGGACCCATAGCCCTTATTTGTCTACCCCAAATTCCAAAGGAGTCTGGATATGAATGCACAAGTAATACTAAGATTACAACTTCCAGCTAGTCATGAGAAGATAAAGATGAAAATAAAAAATTACATGCATTTGTAACTTAGCAACCAGAGTTCAGAAGGAAGTTTTGAAACAGTTTTGTGACTGGCATCTGACTTAACCTATGCCACTGCTGCCTTGAAGATCCAGCCTCAGTAACTGGTCCCTTAGGAAGGAGCTCACTGCAGCAGCCAGCAGCAATAGCTGAATTAGAATTTGAATCAGAATAAAATTGAAAACAAAAAATTCAAGTATTGTGCGATCAGCCCATATCTCCTCCATATCCAAAGAAAAGTAAAGGCATTGCTGGCTCATACATGAAAATGTAAGAAGTTCTATTCTTTGTGCTCGCCTCTTTCTTTTCTGTTTCATATGAATAAAACGTCGATCCACACATTATGAGCATATACAGTGTCATCTACATATCTGTCACTGCATAAATTAAGCTGCATCCTTTGGCTGAAAAAATGCTGAATCTATATAATAAAGACCACTATGTTTTGTTAGTATGACATTTTGTGATCACTCAGTGGCATAAGGCAATGAAGAGGGCTCTCAGTTTGGAAGCGTTAAGGAATCTGAACATGAGCTGCCAGGCTTTAGGCTGTTGCTGAATCAGAGCCTCTGCTCATAGTAAGGCTACAGCTCAACCGAGAGTATGCATCAGCCTCAGAAGTCACCTGTGTCACACGTGTGGTGTAAATCAGTTGCACTGAAAACCTTACCTTTTCTGTCACTTTCTCAACCCCAGTCTCCAGCTCATGTACCATGTTGCTGATTTGCTTCGCTTTGCTGAGGCTCTCACCAGGTAGCTCCTGAAGGTTTTCAATGTGCTGATTAAAGTGGGAAAGTGGCTCTTTCCAGGCTTGCAGAAGCTTCAGGATCAAGTAGGCTAGTTCTTCTCTCTTATAGATTAAAACAAAGAATTTCTTTCTTAGTTTGCAGCAGCTCATATGAACTCAGTCTCACAATCTCAGCAGGGTTAAGAGTTATGTATGCAGTCCAGTTGTTTGCAAATAAAATATACAGGGACCACTCTGTCTCCAGTTGTTTGTGGAGATATAAGAAACAAAAATCTGTACTTGTCCTCTTTTCAGCTTAGACTCCTGTGTTCTGCAGTGCAGCATGAGCAAAATGGTGGCACTCCTGTCCAAGTTAACAGGGACTGAAAACACAGCCTGCTGGGTGACTCACAAGCCCAAGAGGCTCCATCCAGACACCCAATCTGCAATACCTGCACTTCAGCATGAAGCTGCATCGCTTTGCACCTCACACAGGCTATAGCTACGTCATTAAAGGTGCACTGCAGACATACTTCCAAGGAAAGCACCTGGTGCTCAGGTTGGCTGTTTCTCTAACAGAAACCAAGTGGCCTTATGAGCTTTCTGGCAACCTCAGCTCAGAAGTGATTCTGCAGGCTGCCAGCATAGGGCAGGGCAGCATTTCCAATTCCCTTTTCACGTGAGCTGAACTCTGAGAGAGAACTTCCATGTCACAGCAGAACAAGCTGCTGACATACATCTCACTCCATCTCCTCCTGCAGGAGAAAGCCATACTCTCATACTGCTGCCATATTCTCAGCTTCCTCAACTTCTGTCTAAAGAAACTGCTCCTGACTTTCGCCAAAGAACGCTTTTTTCTCTTTGCCATGATGTGTCTAAAACAATTGGCTGTTTTTCCCCTCACCTATCGATTCAGAGACAACAACTGTTACACTTTTCCCCCCAGTGCTTTTTACACTTCACAGTGGCGCTGATCAATCTAACACGCATCACAGTTACAGCTAAGTTTCTCTTTTGCAGACAGCCTCAGACAGCAAGCAGAGGGATAACTGCCACTTGGATGAAGCACCACCGCAATGCCTCCATTGCAATTAGTAAATAGGAAATAGTGCACGAAAAATGCATCTTTTCCTATAGGACAGGATAACGATGGGCATGCCCGCCCGGCGTGCCTTACCGGGATTTTCTGGGCGTACTCTTTGCCGTTGGGGGTCAGCATGGTGGCCGTGTGGCACTTCCTCGCGGGCCTGCCCAGCTCGTTGTTACGGGGCGGTAAGTATTTCTCCTGTAGGGGAAGAAAACCTCAACAAGCCCAATGGCCCACCCTGGCCTTCCTCCCGTTGCGGAGTCGGCCCGGCACTCACCAGCTCGGTGGACAGGCTGTGGATCCTGCCCGAGTGCCGGATCACGCGGTCGAAGAGGTCGACCACGCTGAGGAAGCGGCAGCCCGAGTCCCCCGGAGGGCACATGGCCGGGGGGGCGGCCGCCCGCACCAGCAGCGACAGCAGCGCCAGCGCCGCGCCGGGACCTGCGGGGAGCGAGGGGTCGGGGGGCACAGACCTTCAGTTCTGTCCGCTCTATCCCGTCCCATCCCGTCCCGTCCCGTCCCGTCCCGTCCCGTCCCGTCCCGTCCCGTCCCGTCCCGTTCTCTCAGTCCCATCCCGTCCCGTCCCGTGCTCTCAGTGCCATCCCGTCCCGTCCCGTCCCGTCCCGTCCCGTCCCGTCCCGTCCCGTCCCACCTGCCCGCTCTGCCGGCCGGCCCAGGGCCATGGTACCACGGAACCCTCTGTCCAGCGCGGAGCGGAGCGGCCCCTCCGCCCCTATATACGCGGTGGGGTGTGCGCGGCGGGGGGGCCGCTCCTGACCCTCCCTGACGTGAGCAGCCCGCGGCCGTCGTGCGGCATTATTGCCCGAACGGACTGAGCTGGAGAGCTATAATTGGAAGAACTGCCATTTCAGCCTCTCGCAGAGAAGCACATGCTGCAGTTGTCTTTTTCCAGGACTTATTCCTCTTTAAACCGGTGCCAATAAGTGCACATCAGCATACATCTGTATCAAAGGCAGGACATCATTCTGCGTGAGGCAAGGAGCCTGAAATAGGATTGTTAAGATTGCTCAACTTGAAATGATTTGCCTGCTTCATCCACTTTAAAGAAATGACTCTGGGAATGTAAGGATCAATTTTTGTTCATTTGAAAGGCTTTGGAGCTTGGAATGAGAGCAGTAAGGTCTTTCCTTCCTTTTCTTCTTTTCCTTCTTTTCTTCCTTCCCTTCTTTTTTCTCTTTCCTTCTTTCCTTCCTTTCCTTCCTTCTTTTACTTCTCACACATTTAAGGATGTATATAAAAACAGAAGATAATTTATCCTACAGCCAACACCTCTTGGAGAACATTTTGGCTTTCTAAGGACAGTTTCATCTATGTTAGACTGACAAATTTTATAGCTGAAAGAAGTGGTTATGATAATCTCATCCAGCTTTCCTCATCATGCATGCCATGGATGTCTCTAATTATTCCCGCCTTTGAGCTCCAAAAGTTTTTGAACTATATTGTTTATCTTAGAGTCACAGAATAATAGAATCATTAAGATTTGAAAAGACCCCTAAGATCATCTAGTCCAGCCATGAACACGTCACCACAATACTCAGTAGATGTTTTTTTCCGGAAGAGTCAGTGATCTTCCTGTCTTTTGCTGAACCCTTGAGCATTGTATTTTCTCCCTCTCTTTCTTTGAGGAGAGTGAGAGGGTGCTTAACAGGGAGTTTAACATGATGAAACCACAGTGGCCCACAAAGAAAGGCTGAAGGAGGTGGAGTTGCTTGTTATCTATCAGGGAAAGGTGAGGTGACATAGTTTTCAGATGTGCAGAAAGCAGCAGCAAGAAGGCAATTATTCACCACATCCATTATGCCTACAGGACATCACAAGATTAAACTGCAATAAGGAAAATTTAAATTGGACATTGGAAAGAACTTCTTAATGGTTAGGAAAGTTAAGGAGTGGAACAGATCACTCAGGGACATTGTGGAATCCCCAACATTATCTAACCTTCCTTATAAACCTTCAAACAGCTTTCAGAAAGGCTGCAGCAGGATTCGTGCTTCTGTGAGTAGGGGAGGAATGGGCAACAGTGGACCTCCCTCCCTTCCAGTCTGCTGTATCTTTGTAGGGCAAGGCCAACTGGACTCTCATATTCATTCCCAAATTTAAATCATGAAGAGTAAAACATGAAATGATTTGTTTTAACCAAATACTGTTTGCTTTTTCCCTTAAAACAGTCATGTTTTATGGCTCATAAAGGGGCAAGTCACACTCTGCTCTAGAAGTTAATAATATGAATTCTTGAACAAAGCAATCTGTAAATGATGTAACTTATATCTCTGAAGTGAAATGCAAAAAGAGTTCACTACCCTCTAGAAACAATAATCAGTATTCCTAAAGCTGGATAACAAATCTCTGGTTTTCCTGGTTTTGTAATAAAAAGGCACAGTTCTGCAAGCAGAGCTGGAATTGTGGGAATCATTTTCAAACATTCCTTCTGCTTAGGGTTTCCAGAAACCCAACATTTTCAGAAGATCTGCAGTTTATTTGAGTAACTTATAAAAGCACACCAAAGGCTTGTTTTGGGCCTGTAAGGGAACCTTGTCTTCTTAAGGTGCTGCAGCTCCATTTCCCTGCTGTCCCTCATACAGGCTCCTGCCGATTGCCCTGTTCTTTGCTGTTGCACTGGGTGCTCTGCTGAAGTCTTGCCTGGGAGCTGCTCAAATGGTTGAGAGTACATACATATGTACATCTGCATACTGTTTGCAAGTTGGACGACACCAGTTGCTTTCCTTAAAGGCCTTAGAGAATGTCCACAGACATTTCCCTATATTCTGCTACAGCTCTCTGAAATGGGAAAAAAGAATCGTGGAATCATTGTTATCCCTGGAATCAGTTTTGTCATTGGTGTCTGAAAACCAAATGGTGTCACCACAAAGGTGAGTGAGTACTGCAATACTGAGCTCATTTTTTGGAGCACTGAATCAATTTGTTGTTAGTTTTCCCCAGTATCTGCTTTTACCCCTTCATGTAGTAGTGTTTGGCTTTTTTCTCTTCTAAAATCTCTTTCGATAACACTTCACTCACCGTAAAATTGTTTACTTTCATCAACTAGATTTCTTTCTCTTTTATGCTCTTTTAAGTCTCATTTTTCTGTTTTGATAGTCACAGGATCTGCTTGGCTTATAGCTATAATGAATTTTTAAAGTCAAAACTCAGTATCAGTTCTCCATTGGAATCTTCAAGCTGTCACCCTCCTGCCTCCTTGTCCTCTTTTGACTTTTCCAACTATATCCTTTGCTGGTTCTCCTACTGCTTCTCTAACTTCTTATGCAGAGAATCTTCATCACTTCACCAGTTTATGTGAAAGCTCTACAGGATTCTGTCTCACATTTTACAATCTCATCAGCAAAAGCAAGAATTCAACTACTGCTGCTCACTGCCACCTGAAGGTCTGTCTTCCTGCTCTATATTGGTCTCCTTGGTCCTAGCACTTATCTCAAGAGACAAGTGTGCATCTTCCACATGGCCTTGCTCAGCTCAAATGTAAAAGAACTTAAAGAAAACACAGTTTCTCTTGTTAATATTTGCAAGCTGAAGAGAAAGGCGTGTTCAGAGCATGCAACAAGATTCTCCCCCATACATTCAGGACAGGATTTCTCTCTGATTTCAGGTATTGTGAATTTAGAAATAGGCCCTTTTGATGTTCATCTGGAGGTAGGTATCTAAATATCTAAATAGTACAAACTGTCTGTGTATGTTGTCTTTCTGTATAGTACTTCTGATGTGCTCTAACAGGAACATATACTTATAGCTTGGCTGTGTTTTTCCTGACATTGGAAGTGTTACTGACATGTGACACTGTGAGCAGCAGGATCAATAGTAACATGTAACAGGTTTGTTCCGTTTTCAGGGAGATTTGGAGCAAACTTTTTTGGAATATAAAGATAAAATTATGCAGTGTTTGTACATGCCTCAAGAAAAATGCATTCCAGAAAAAAAACTGGAGGAAAACTTCAGGCAAGGCATTAAGTCAGGGCCGAGAACTTTAAGGAAATAAGGATACCTACATAATACATTGGAGTCAGTCTCAAGGAGATGTCCTAGTGCCCTGTGAAAATTGTGGTTGTGTTTGGCTGAATTCTGCAAGCACTGAGTTAGACCATCATACTGCTATAGCTCCATTAAATTTGATGTCTTTACTTTTTGTTCATATTGGCGTAGCAGAGATTGGATTCAGGACTCAGGACCTGTGTTATTAATAAGCATGCACTATTCAAAATGAACTTTAACCCCAGAATTAGTTCTGTAATACCCATCTGGAAAAAATATATGCTGTGATGTCCTCTGTTTATGAAATCAAATTATTTAGAGAGTTACTTAAGAGGAAAGAAGGCCCTAGTACCATCCTGTGCGCTTCTTATATTTTTACAGGACTGCCCACTGATTTAAAGTGATTCTTCACTTAAATTATGACTTCCCATCTGCCACCATATTGAAATTATCACTGTGGAAGAGAACCGTGTCAGATGTACCAAAGCTCCAAGATTTTTATGACTGTAGTATGAACATAAGTTAACTGCAGTTCATTTAACATCTGGCTAGTGCCAGATGTTGCCAGGCTGTCTTCCCCATTGACATAGTAATATCTTACAGCATAAAGTAAGATATTGGCAAGTTCTAAATCTTCATTTCCTTATAGCAGTATTTATGAGTCCATTCTGTCAAATACTTACGAATTTCTGCTACTTTCTTTTCATTGTCTCAAATATAATGAGGAAATTTGTAATTATAAAATACTTCTCACTGCATTTGATAATACTAAGTATGCTATGGAATCTTCCTTCATATTCCTAGTGCATACAAGCATAAGATTCTTTAGTGTTGTGATTGAGTTACTGTTATTTCTTTTTTCCACAGGATTTCTGCTTGATTCAGTATACCGTATTCAGCTGAATAAGCAGCTATTCAGTTTTGTTTTTCTTTTATTGTTGACTGTGTGCTCCCATGCCTAATTTACTACACAATTTTCAAACCTATTCTGAATATATAATCATTTTCCTCCTGAATACTCTATTTTTCATTGAATACCTGCTCACAAGCATTCACTAATTTATTATCACAGCATATTCCTGAAGTGAGGGCATGCTGTCATACCCATTTTACAGATAAGTGAAGAGGCACAGTGCAGTCATTTACCTATTTGAACAGTCAGTTTGAGATGGAAGGGACATTAGTTCTTGAGGATTAACCTCACATTGGATTATGAAAAAGTTCTTGTGTAAGTACAACCTTTACTGACTTCAGGTATAAAAATCTTTTGTTCGGGTTCCACCTCTCCTAAACTCAGTATAATTTTTCCTACTATATGAGAGAAAATACCTACCTGAAATAATCCAACTCTACTTGGGACCCTGCAAAAAGTTTCTAGGCTTTTTCCTTTTAAGCTACAAATTTGTTAGCTGTGCTATGCTGTCACCCCTTTGCATGCTCTGAACACCCCTTTGGGAAAGGGGAAAGATCTTTGCTTGCTAAAGGGGCTTAGTGAAACCTGGAAGCATTCTATTCCATTTGAAGTTGTAAGGGGGGGCTGTGCTGTGGTCAGATACAACTGATCTCCATTTCAATCTCATCTCTTTGGTACTGAGACATAAACACACCAGAAATACTCTCTTTGTCTGATATTCCTAGTATCTGGATATTATCCTCAGCTTTCTTCAGCCTCTTTGTT